TATAGCGACGCTTGGTGGTACATCTTCTTACTGGTGATTAACGTCTATGATCAATAATTAAACAAGCCCTTTTGGTGCATGTAGAAGCTAACGGTGAGAGCTTAATAGGAGAAAGTTGGTTGACAGTCAGAAGGCCGTCGCTGACAATAGACACCGAACTTGCCGGACTCGAGGGAAACGCAACGTGTGCCATGTCTCCTCTCGAGCCAGGACACAGTTTTTTTTTTTTTCGAGGCCCGCGTAGGCAAGGAACGCGGTGTTAGCCAGGCAGTGAATGGCTGAAGAAGAGGTACCGAATGAGTCTCAGAACGTAGGGCCAGTTTTAATAACGATAGTCTTCCTTGGGATACTTCACTATGGTAGGGCATAAAGTTGTCGCATGGGCCACACACCACTCTATGCAACAAATGTTCGACGATTTAGAGTACGATGTACTCAACTATGGGAGAGCGAAAAGCTGTCCCAGAGCCAAAAACCACATACACACAAATGTACGAACGTTGCTACCCAGAACCTAGAGGTCGGCATCATCTCTGAATGCTTCAATAGTGCTAAATTCAACTTCTGGTTAGAATAAGTGGATAACGATTTAGAGTACTTGGTACTCTACTATGGGAGAGCATAACACCATCCCGACAAGAGAGATGAATTTGCTGCAACAACCCCGAGTCTTCAAGGCAGAAATTTCGGTCTCTATGTCGCTTAAGAAAGGGTGTTAAACAATGGCGAAGTGACCAGCCATCTAAGCGACCAGCCATCTTGATGTGGTTTTCGCGTTCATACGTGCTGACATTGTCAATCGAAAAAACTAGTATTGCGTATATATTTTGGCGCAACATAGGTGAGGGGCCATTAGGCAGTGTGTTACTTTATTTTTAAAATGCACGATATGTATTTATAAATACCACAGTGCTTACTACGTGGTGCTGGCAATGCGACGCTATGACCAAAAAAAAAAAATTTGTTTCCTACACTTTACTAAAACTACATGGTGCTGCCACCTACCAGTGGCTTTGCGTTCTACAAAAACTTCGTTTCTTCAAATTACTGCTAGATGGCGTCCATATATTTCACGCAGCGTCTACTCGTCGATTTTTTTCGTGCAGAACGTCAAATAAACGTTCTCTCTCTCGAGACAGAAGACTATCGTCTTTCGATGACCTTTGCCAGAGAAGCATGCTGATACGCAGCTATTTTTTTTTCTCAATTTTAGCACTCAACACTGTACGCTAAAAGTGGCAGGAGAGTTTGTTTCGTATAATTTTGGCCCAGCCAGACAGATCTCTGTCAAATATTTTTACCTTTAAACTGACCACATTGCACTTCTCCACTTGCAAACACGCCGAATGGACGCGTGTAGAAACGACGCATGGCAGGAGCTAATCGCGGAGACCACGGTCATGATGCATTACTTCACTTTACCGCTCCATGACGCCAACATCACCCCGCCGACTGCAAGCAGTGTGAGACCTTGAAGAGTGTGAGATACAAAAGGCGAGTTTGTATAGCCTCGCAGTGAATGGCCGTGGCACTGGGGCACAGTGAATAGCGTGCCCGGCATCTGCTGTCACGAACCGAGAGGTCACGGGTTCGGCTCCCGTTGACGAAACTTTTTTTCTTCGAGTTTTTCACACTGACCGACACTAAAAAGTGGAGACGAAGCATCGCTGCTGGCCTAGACGCGAGCTTGTGAAGCCACCGGAAGTTGCCCGATTTTTTCCAGGAAGCGGTCATCTGCTGCTCCTTCACATGCGCACTGAGCTGTTTCTTTTTTTGTGACCTTGTTTCCTGTCTTTTCTTTAAATATCACATTATGCGGTCTATAGACCCTATGCAATATTGCTACCATTGGGCAGAGGTTCGAAGAAGCCATCGATTCGATGTCATGTTGGAGGCCTGTGTCCGAACCGTATTGGGGTCGTTGATGAATCTGCATTGATAATATAGGCAATCGGCGCATAAAAAAAAAAAAACACCAGACGAGTGTATAAAGGACTGTACACGTTATCACCAATACTGTTTAGTTATTAAGTTGACAGTTATTACGTGTAAAGAACTGCCTCACAACGAGAAGAAGGTGCAAGTTTTTCAAGTTCATATAATTCCAAGGCGCTCACTATTACATTCCAAGAAAGAAATTGAAGTAATGTGTTGTGTGTGTGTGAGAGAGAGTGTCAGTTATTTATTGTAATTCGCATGTAATTCAGCCCTTTTTTATTCTGTTGTCCGTCATTTCCTATATTGACATAAAAATGATATCATATACTCCAAATGAGTGCGGATTCAGTTTTTGGTTACAATCATTTCTAGACAAAAAAAAGTTATACTTTTAATGTAGGTCGTGGAACGTGGCCCATCGAACATCATAGTGCCTTCGCCAAAGCGACCGGTTACAGTACATACGCAGCACATGAGGTTCAGTCTTGATAATCATGACACATTGACAAAGCAGAATGTTCAATTCATCTAATGAGCAAATGAACCTTGCTCTCTTCTTGCCACAAGTTTTCACAGTCTGCATACACAAGCTGCGTACCAAAACATTGCCACCGTCGCTGAAAGGGATATAAATAAACGGTACAAAACAAATAAAAAAAATTGCGGGACCCCTAAGTTGATTGATTGATATGTGGGGTTTAACGTCCTAAAACCACCATATGATTATGAGAGACGCTGTAGCGGAGAGCTGTGGAAATTTCGACCACCTGGGGTTATTTAACATGCACCCAAATCTGAACACACGGGCCTACAACATTCGCACCTCCATCGGAAATGCAGCCGCCGCAGCTAGGATTTGATCGCGTGACCTGCGGGTCAGCAGCCGAGTATACCTTAGCGACTAGACTACCACGGCGGGGAACCATAGTCTATCGATATCATGTCCCTAGTACGGGCCTGTCACTTTGTGCACACTTTTTATTGTATGGTGTTACTCGAAAAGTTTGATCGTGGATTACTACGATGTAATTAATAAATGTGAAAGCGACTTTTGTAAGTGAATCTTTCGCATAGATGGCTGCATTATGTGTAATGGGTAGCACGCTTTAAGCTACACGAGCAATTAATTACGCGTGTGAAATGTTTTCGAATTAGCTATGCACCCAGTACGTGGTCTGAAGGAATGCAAATTGTAATAATAGGTGTGTGCCTATTGTAATAATGGGTGAGCTGCTTTAAAGTCGTAATGATATTAGCATTTTCTGACGCCCGTTGGTAATCTGCGCTTGTCTCACGCAATAACGTGGACGAAGGGAGCAGACTGGATGGTCAAATGAAACTTTGTTTCGCCGAACTTGCGGAAAAGGAAAGTCAGATTACAGCAAGACACTGATAGCGGCGAGTAGAGCATCTGCCGTCGAACAACTGACAAGCGGCGAAGCGCGTCGGCATTTATATACACGTGGCATCGAATATTCTATAGCGTTATCACTGGCGGCCGCGTAGGTTCCAGAACAATCTGCAATGTTCACGAAGTGGGCGTAATCTTAACAAAACCATCTACTATACAGTCCTGAAGCTTCTCGAACATTGCAGGCGTGGTTTGCGCAAAGAATTACTAACAGTGTAACGGTACGATAACAAAACTTAAGGAAGGAATGTGGCAATAATATGGATGATTGATAGATACGTTGGATTCAACGTCCCAAAACCACCATAAGATTATGAAAGACACCATAGTGGAGGGCTCCGGAAATTTCGACCATCTGAAGTTTTTTAACGTGCACCCAAATCGGAGCATGTGGCAATAATATTGCGATACTACATGTTGCATTGTGAAGCCTGCAAACAGGACGAATGTGTTTGTACACCATGCAAGTGAGTGAGTGAGAAAGACTTCGTTTGGTGATCCGGCGGACGACAATCCTAGCTCCGCAAGGGGAGGGACATCATGATGCGGCCAAACATCACCTCGGCGTGACGTCCTCTACTCGGCGAGCAGTCCTCGCTACGCCCGCCTTCTGGAACCCACGCCTGCCCCTGTGCTGGGGTGGTAGCGAACACTTTGTGCTTTCGCTCGGGCGCTGCTTTTCGAGGGCAGCCGAGATCCACTGGACGGCCCGTGTCTGCTCTTCCCGCTGGTCAATTCCCGCGGGGGCCGTAAGCCACGGCGTGATCGTCACGTGTGTGGAACTGAAAGAGCTACTGCGACCCACATACTGTGTGATTGTGAACAGAATCCAAAGGAGGCAAGAACAGTGATCACGCAAGTCATTTTTACTGCATATTTAAGCAGAGGAAGTCACTGCATTTGCATGGAAACGCGTGACTGTGTGGTAAAGCACCCAGTTGTCATGCAAGCGGCGTGCAGGTTTGATCCTTTCTCGGACCGTGAAATTTTCATCATTTATTTTATTTGCGCGTTTCTCGATTTTTCGGTCCCGCACAAGATGATGAATTCCCACTCACAACCTAAACGACGTCCATGCTGACGCCAGCATTTTTGCGAAACAAGCTCTTTCACGCTATCGCCTTAATATCGACCGGATATGCATGTTGGAACTATTTTTCTATCACCCCGCGGCTGAGATATAAGGCAACATTTCGTCAAAGGCACACGCCTATGGCTCATTCAACAAAGCGCTCGTCTTTTATCAGTCAGTTCACTAGCATATGCATGGCCCCAGTGCAAGTTCCCTGAGCGCCATCCGACGCTCGACAGGTGCTTGTGAGACTCAAGTGATAGACACGAGAAATATACACAAGTAGAGCTATCTAGACCTTTGCATAATATTCACGCTCGAAAGAAAAAGAAAGGAGGAGAGGCTCTCGATTAAGCCGCTATTCTGAAAATGAGCCCATTTGCACAAAGGTCGATTACCTGAAGAATACATCTTAACAATACACGAACATGCAAACTAAGGCGTTTTTACATATCAGATACAGCTACTGGATGTTCCGAATCGAAAATGTCAGCTGGCAGTGCCTGCGTATATAATAAGCACGTACGTTCACTCCGAGGCCACTCCAGCTTTTAACGCTGCGTGTGGCATTCGAAACACTATATTACTGACTTGGGGGTAAGTACTAACATCTTTTTGGGAAGCATCGTCATCATCATCAGCCTGACTACGCCTGCTGCAGGGCAAAGGTCCCTCCCTTGTTCTGCCAGTAAGCTTGGTACTGTGCTTGCTGCTGCCACTTTATACTCGCAAACTTCCTAATCTCATCTGCCCAAATAACTGTCTGTCTCTCCCTCACCCGCTTGCATTCTCTGGGAATCCAGTTAGTTACCCTTAATGATTAGCAGTTATCCTACCTATACACGCTACGTGCTCAGCCCATGTCCATCTCTTCGTCTTGATTTCAACTATGATATCTTTAACCCCGGTTTGTTCCCTCACCCACTCTGCTCTGTTTTTGTTTCTTAAATTTACATCTATCGTTTTCCTTTCCATCCCTCACTGCGTTGTCCTCAATTTAAGTAGAGCCTCCAGGTTTCTGCTCCGTAGGTACAGTACCGGCAAAATACAGCTGTTATATACCTTCTTCTTGAGGGGTAGTGGAAGTCTACCCTACTCATAATTTGACAATGCTTGCCGAATGTGCTCCGCCCCATTCATATTCTTCTGTTACTTCAATCTCGTGGTTCGGCTCTGTGGTATAGCTGTCCTAAGTGGACGATCTCTTTTACAAATTCCAGAGTACTGCTACCTATCTCGAAGCGCTGTTCTCTTCTGAAGTTGTTGTACATTAACCTCGCACATGGATACGCCAATTGTGAAACATATAACATTGCAAACGTTTTTGCACCCAAAGGGGTGTATGTAGATGAGTTGGGCACAGTGAAGACACCTTAAGGGTGTTAAATAAGAACATACAGAAAGGTTGCTCTCCCACTCACCTTAGTTCAATGGTGTACATGCATGGTCCGTCACACCGAAGCACGACGTGTTTCGTCATGTTTAACGAACCCTGTACGTGTACAAGACTGTAGCATGCTACAGAAACGACCTCACCAAAGGGTACCTTCCACGACTTTTTCAACACCCACTGAGATGGGTGTGATGAGAAGTGTACAAGGGTACAAGTGCCTGTGCCGCGGGTGGTACTCCGTAGGAGTCCTGCAAGGGGTGATGTCCACGTAAGCACGCAGTGACGGGAAAGCGCATAAAAAAAATCTCAAAGAATGCAAACTATGCATGTGATTGGAAAAGAACGTGAGATTTAGCAGAGCATTTTACCCGATAGCATATATATAGTCTAACGCAAACTTTTTTTTAAGTGTCGCAATTAGTATCTTGTAGGGCACAGCAATTCACACGTCCTACAGTATGGTCAGAGTCCTTCAATACTTGTATGGTTAACCGTAAATGCGTTAGTGTATGTATTCCGACTACACCGCGTTTAAAGTATTAATACTATCAGATCGATGCCCGTGACAGTCACTTCGCACGAGAGAAACGTGCCTTCTCGTGAATTTCACACCATGCTGGAGTGACTATGAAACTAGAAAAGTGCGTGCCATTCTGTGAATCCTTACGCGACCGAGAAAGGTAGAGAGATAGAAAGCTATTTATTGAAAAACAGAGAATTCACGTGAAGTATGTAAAGGTGCCTACATCAAGTTACAGAGGTAGGGAATTAGGGGATTGAGCTTAGAAACGCTCTAGGAGCAGGGGGCAGGAAAATTATATATATATATATATATATATATATATATATATATATATATATATATATATATATATATATATATATATATATATATATATATATATATATATATATATATATAGCAAATGAAATGTTTGTGAGTTAAGCAATCGAGTTAATGTCCTCAAAGAACATACTTTTTAGGATTTAACGTTGCTGAGAAGAAGACATTGGTCCAAGTACTTTCCCGGGAAATAGTGATGCTTGGGAAGTTAAGCATATTCTACATTGGAGACAAGTCTTTTCTTCGCTGTATATGTATAAGGTAATCATCCAGCAAAGAGACAAGAAGCCAGTACATTGAAGGCATTGATAAGACCTTACAAGAATAACAGATCGTGTAGGATAATCTCTTTTTTTCAGCTCTCGAGCCAGCTCCTCATAGGGAGTTGCAGGGAGTCAAAATGGAAAGCTAAAAAATCATGTGCGTGACGAAAATTTGGAATATCACGCCGCCGGCCACAAAGTCACGGGTAGCATTCCAGCAGCGGTGCACTCATGCGAAAATCGTTAGTTTAAAGCACGTACGTATACGTGTATGTAAGAAAATATTGAAATAAGTGAGTATATCGACATATGCAAGAAAATATTGAAATAGGTACAGCATCATTTTAAAGTATTCCGTGGTAACTTACAGGGGCGCAGCTAAGATTCTTTTACTGGGGAGGGGTCGGGGGCACCCACTACAAGTGAGTTTCTTCTTCAAGAGGGCAGGGAGGCTAGGAACATATATGCGGTGCGTTTCAGAAATTTCGGAAAGGCTCTCGCCCCCTCTTCCACCCCCATCATACCCCTCGTAGGCACCGTCCCTGGTAATTGGTTGAACCATTAGCTGAAGAGAACGACGCCATCAGCTTTTTATTATTATTCTCATAGCTAATATGTTATCATTGTTTTTATTTATTGATTGATTGATACTCTAGTCTCAAGTAGAGAATATAACAGGTGTGAAATGTAGATAGATGATACTCAAAGAAAAGGCACAATACTATACAAGGGATACATGAAGTGAAAAATACAATGAATGCAGGTAAAACAATAAGGCTAAGGAAATGAACAATAAACACAATGAAATAGAATTAAATAGCGATAATTTCTGTAAAATGCGAAATTGCAGGAACAATCATAAGGAACACGAAAACAGAGAATAAAATTTCAAGGATAACATTTGTCGCATAGGCAATCGAATCGTACAAGGTTATGTAAGCAATAGGAATAGAAATAAGGCTTCAAGTAGGAGAGTTTTACTGTTGCTGTTGTAAAAAAAAATTGCAACATTGCATATATCGCCTTGATTACGGTAAACGCGGCGTCATATAACTCTCCGTGTTTCCACGATATTCGAGTACTGTGCACATTCCCGAGATACAGGAAGTTTGTGCCAGCTGCTGACCTCGAAAGCGTGGGTTCGATTCTCGGCCCACGGCTGTCCAATTTCGACGGTGGCGAAGTGAAAAGAACACCCGTGTGTTTAGATCCAGGTGCGCTCCTTAAAGAACCCTAGATGGTCGAAATTAATCTTGCGGCACCCCACGTGGTCTTGACAGTCTTGTCGTAGTTTTGGCACGTCAAATCTTAGAAATTACAATTATTATGGAAATTTGTAGTCTATGCGCAGCTTGAAACGCAAAGCAATCCTTTTTCGTCAATAAACAAGTGGGGTGCGTGAATAACAAACTATTACGCAGAAGCGATTACACATATCAAATAGCTGCAGAAGCGAATCTAGTCCAGTACTTTTTGTGGAGCGTTTAACTATTGAACAAGTTGTTTTCACCATTCGTATTGAAGCGCAGACATTTTAAAGATATTTTTCACTGTGACTATTTTCACCAGCTAATTAACGTCTTCTTTTCTATACTTTAAATATCTTATTTTGCTACCCAATTCTTGGGCATTCTCCGGGGTGGATGTGAGCCAACAGTCTAGCATTCGCATTCACTGTTTATTATACGAATGTTATCACATGGCGCAAGTCGCGCACATGGTTGTATCGGAACTGTCAGTGAGGCTAATCATTTATCGAATTGTACTAATGAGATTGCTTGCACGGCATGAAAGGTGGAGTACTACGCTGGATGTACGTGATGAGTTCAATTGTGCAGGACTCCGTACCATATGACTAAATTATAAATAAGGGACGTGTGAGCAACGCGGACCAGATCTTGGAAGACCGAAGATTGGGCTCACCGCTGTCATCGTACTGCAAGTCAAGGGCGTGCGCACAGGTGGGGGGGGGGGGGGGGGGGGGGGGACAGGTAAACCCTATGTAAAGTGGGGGCGGCCACTCTCCCTATATTTGAGTGGCGGGGGTACGAAGTATGTCCCATGCCTTTAGGCACTGCGCCGCGCTCCCGACCGGGTGGCAGAAATTAGGTGCCTTTTCTCATCTTCTAACCACTACCACCACCACCATGCCTTGACGTGTACGGAGGGGGGTGCTGCGATAAACCCCCACCCCTGGATGGGGAGGACCTTGCACGCGCATATGCTTTGAGTGTTTTCTCCTGGGTACAAGTTCGCGCAATGAAGAATTAATGTCATTCATTCATTCATTCATTCATTCATTAATACCGTCAAATCCCTGCTAGTGTGCGAAGAAATACACAGATATGCCAGCAAGTATACGTACCAACAATGCAATACTCACGCATTGAAACGCGACAGGTCTGGACTTTACTTCCCTAAGTCTACAGTGCGAGTCATATGGACGAATGTTTCTACTCGAATGCTTACATCCGAGCCAAGATTACTTTCAGCGACCAGATTCGCGGTGATGTGGCGTATTATCTCGATAAGCCATGCACGCCAGTCGTTTTACTATTAAAAAATAATTGTAAAGAAAACTGACGCTGCATTTCATTCCAATGAGCATGCCCGAAGGGGATGTTGCACAAAATTTTAGCATTAAAACAAAAAATGGCAAACAATGAATATATTAATGCACACTTCGCATCAGCTAAACTGCCCAGAAGGCGCGAGTAATCGTCGCATAGCCGGTAAAATCTTCCCGAGCAATGAAAATCATGCTGGCTAGAATTTGGGCACGCTAACCACACTGTAAACTACCTCAGCAGGCATGTATACTGTACTGAGTCTTAAGTACGCCCACTGGGGTGATAGTTATACTCCAGTATTGCACGATTTTTGTGTTTACTTATTGCGAACCATTGCTTTGCGTACTGCAAGCACTTTTGGCATTTGTCAGCGCATCTATCTAGCCGTCTACGCCTAGGCGCTCTCATAATCGCCTCTTGAACTTGGGATAGACCAAAATTAGTAGGGAGGGTAAGATGGTTTAACGAATATGACGCGCTTGTCATGACATGAATAATGTCACAATCTCGTCGCGTACGTCGTCGAACACTTTGCAAAAAACATTGGCACATACCCGGGGAGGGGGGGGGGGGGGTATGTGGCACAGGTGATAGACATTTTATATTTAGCTAGGGACGGCGAAAGCATGCATCGATAACTTTAACGCTTGAGCGTTATGCAAAAGCTGTCATAGGCAGCGTTGACAGGACGAATGGGACCAATAAATATCAATGTGTCAACAAGAATCGAACCCTAGCATTCTCCGTGGCAATGAAGTATACTACCAGGGCCACGCCAGGCCTCGGATATACTTTTCAAATAGGCCCTAATTTTTGTGTGACGTCAATTGTGGTTGCAGTACTGGCTATCCGATTTTTACGGTATAAACATTACATATTCACTCTTATGATACAGCCGTCATCTCGGGTTAACGCAAATTGTAGTAAGGCGCCATCCGCTGAAGTTGGTTTGTGTAGCAGTGTTGAGGGTATCATGAACGAGCACCAGTGTAAACACCAGTGCTTCATACCAGCTTACCGCTTTTGGTGTTGCTACCTATATTGCAGTCGGTATCGTTACACGACTGTAAGCAAACATATTGAGCACCACTTCATAATGTCGCGCTCAATAAACTTTCCACCCGCATGCTTCGCATAACATCGATTCCCAAGGTACGTGGGATCTACCTTATTTCTTACTGTTGTCAACATCTGCAAGAGTTGGTAAACGGCGCCAAAAATGCTGGCGTTTATCAATAGCCATAGAGTTAATATAGAGACTGTATATTAACTCTATGCCAATGAACTATTCGAATCGAAGCCCGAATAAAAGTCCGCTGAAAAGCAGTAAGCCGCACAAGGCGCGCTGACGAGTATCGGATCATTACGTCACGCAAAGGCAGCGCCACTTTAATGTATACTACTAACGCAAACTTACACGTATACTTTTATAAAACATTATCTTCTGCTATAAAAATCAAACAATATTCCAGTACTCATAAATAAATTGTTGACTGTATACATTAACACATGGTCACGTGACAGGGCAGTCATGAAAGTTTATGGTTTAGCCACCAGAAACGCCACAGACCGTTTTCGCGATTTTAAATAAAGAAATAAAACTATACATTTGCTTCGCACGAGAAAAACAGGGTCGGTTTTAGTCACTATAAGGGACAATCTTTCCGTCCGGGCAGTCATCTCATTTCCAGATCTGGGCAGTTGTCGGCCCTTTTAGATTCCAAATTCTTTCAGACGACGCCAGGATAAGTTAATGTGGCAGGTACATTGATGCCCACCATCGCGTCTTAATGGTATTGTCTGTCACCTCCACCCCTCAAAAAAAAAAAAAAGAGAGAAGAAAAGGCGCTCATATATACGTGCTTCAGATTACGGATTTTTATATTATAGGTGTTACGTGTGCTAATAAAAGCTTGAGACCAGAGATGCAACCATTCCAAAATCTGGAGGCGACAAACTTACCCACGGCTACTTGTGTGCTTATAAGTTGGCTTTCCGACGAATGAACACTGACAACATTCCTGTGCAGAGCAACAATCTCGCTAAACTCGCACCTTTTGATTTCGATTTCATGAACTTGGCCTGACTTGGCTACCATCTGGCCCTTGGCTCTTCCTCCTCTCATTGAACCGAACTCTAAGATGGCGCCCTCCGTGTTGGCTGTTTGTGGCCGTACATTTTCAAAAGTATTAAACCATGGCCACCTTAACCACGCAGCTTCGATGTCAAGTGAGTATTTTATCACACCATTTGTGAGCTGTTTGGCGTTATACGGTGATGTTATGACTAGTGCTTCATTGCTTAGTTTCGCTGTACCGGCTTATCTGTCGTGCGATTCGGCACATCTGTCACTTTTCAAAGCATTTCGCCGTCCGCAGAGCAGGATAGTAATAAGTGCTGTTGCTGAATAGAGTCGGTGAATATCACGTCCTTTAGCTAGGGCTGATATTAACATAGCAACCGGGGCTTTGCGCCTAACTTAACTCTTCGTAGCTGTAAAACCCGTAGTCGCTCTGCAGCATCCTTGAGAAACGTACGTTTTCCGTGTTTTCATGCTTGCCAACGCCTGGACGTGGCAAGTTTGTGTTGTGCGCTTGTGCCTGCGTCATGTTAGTGTTTACGCTCTTATCCGATTTCGCGCCTTACGCAATGCCACAGTCCAAACGTAATGAACGTGGCAGGTGGTATCCAAACATAATTCCTACCATATGTAGAGCCGCGAATCGTGTCGGGTGAGGTTACCGGCACTTTACGCGTAACAGCTATGCGCGGGGTTATGTGCATGAAGGTCATCAAAGTGGTGACACGGGCATTCTTTTAAAAGCGCACCTCGAATCATCAGAGCTAGACTACTGGGAATCGAACTTTCCACTTCTTTCTGTGCACCAGAATGCTGCAGCCCTCTGCCGTTTCTCGTCTTTTTTCACATACTACCAGGGGTTGTGCCAAAAAAAAATCATCGCCCGCCCCCTCCTGTGCCCCCCACAATACCAAACATAGTCAAAACTGAGTAACCGAATTGCCGGCCTACCAGCCACCCCTGAAGGAACTCAGTTAATGTGTGTGTACACCTAGTAGGAAAAGCCTGGTGCTGCCCCTGTATACTGCATGGTGCGGGCATAATGAATCCATGTCAATGAAATGAAAGCTGCTTAGCTAAAACACAGAAAGCTCGACAGCGAGCCCGGATCTAGTAAACGAGTCTATCTAGTAAACCCTTCGCAATATTTACTATCCTAAAGTAACAAATTTTTACAATCAGCATTACAGTGACAACTTCATCAGCTTCTGCTTTGCACATCCTTCAGGAAAACAACAGTTCGGGGCTGCAGAAGGCTACTTGTGAAGTGCGCTCTTGCATGCCTTTATCTGCATATGTTCGTGCGCCTCTAAGTCAATGCCGAGTAAAATCACCGTCAGCAGAGGCTCTAGTGGGCCCACATGCTGCATGAAAATGCTATGGCCCTGCCACTTCATGTTACCGGCGTAATGTTTGGGCGTGCTGGTTCTAATAAACATGTGGTTCTATTAAACGAATTAGTAACATGTGGTTCTATTAAACCAACAAGATCTTTGTTGAGGCATGTTATGTGAACTCGTGTACGCACTGCAAAGCTTGTATGTATGCAACTGTGGCGAGACACTCATAAGGGGAGCTGTTAACAGAGCCCTCAGCCACTTGCCAAATTCAGTGCACTTGAGCATGATGTCACAGATTTAATCTGAATCGCTGCTTCTGTTCAGAATAAACCTATGAATAAACCGTGAGTTGTTGAATTCAATTTGAATTACTAGTTATGCAGATTAAATGCGATCCACCGTTTTGCCTGATGGGGACAAATGGTGAGAAACATTCACTGGGTGTTGAGACTGCCTATGGTCAAGTATAATGCGTAGCCCTCCGCACCATGGAAGTTTTGAGAATCCGCTGCACACTCACTAGATGTTGAAACCCTCGCAGTTAAACCCGTTTACGTAAGTTTGCATTTTTTAATTTCAGAACGAGCAGTATCGCAAGTACCACTAGGTTTCGTCGGCCTCGGCAACATGGGGAAGAACATGGCACGTAACCTTCTCGCTAAGGGCACCGGCTAGTTGTATATGACCTTTACCCTGAAGCCATGGAAGCTATGGCGAGTCAGGGTGCCATCACTGCCCAGAGTCCGGCCGAATTGGGTGAACAGTGCGACCGCATCATCACTATGCTTCCATCGAGTCCTCATGTGAGAGAAGTGTACTCTGGCAAGAAGGGGATCTTATCGTGAGTCCACCACTTCATGCTAATTTTCTATATGGCCTTTTGTATGGATGTTGAAGCAGTTTAGCAAAAGCAGACTTTCTAATGATCATTTCACCTATATGGACTGCTAAACCAACCCTCCTTTAATACCATTGCAATGTGTGTAGAATGAAAAGATGCAATTAATGTTTCACTGATCAGTAGTTACCAATTGGTTCTATTGACTAGTCCCTATTGGCTCTATCGGTGACAGCCAGCATTTATCTCGTACGTTGAGGGCTTTTTATTGGTTCACTTTTATATTTTGTGCATTTTTTTCCCCTAGGACAGTGAAGACCGGTTCTCTCCTGATAGACAGCAGCACCATCGATCCATCCGTCTCCCAGGAGATGGCGAAATTGGCCGAAGCAAAAGGAGCCTCAGTTTATTGATGCTCCCGTGTCTGGAGGTGAGAACCTCAGCAGTTTCTGCTGTCGAGAGACGCATTAGTATGCATTTTCTACAGGTTATAAAACTAAAACATGTGGCCCAGGAAAAATTAATGTATGATGACACTTGCAGTATTATTTTTGTCAAATGAAAATCGTTTCTCGCAGAATACCTTATTAAAGTAGCACTGACACAAAAACTTTGCACCTTGTCTTTTTTTTGCAATAGTTATCATAGCTGGAAATGACCTTTGCAGAAGTGCACGACGGTTATTTATTTAGAGATGTTTATGGAGTGCCCAGTCTGAGTTTCTGTTTGAATGAACACCGAGCTAGGCAGGAGCTGTTCTTGGGCGCGAAGGTAAACACAGCCGGCCATGTCGGAGCATAGCTAGCACCTGCCATACTGCAGGCACGGAGCTGTAAATCAAGAGGTAGCAAAAGCACAAGGCGCGTGCTAGTAACCAGCTAACACAAACTCGTGATGTAGGTTTGTTTACATTGTTTCGGCGTCGCGAGGGGCTCTGCATCTCGCTCGGTCGCACAGCGTGTGCATTAAAATTGATTTTATATATGTTCTAGGCTATGTTTGCTATTGATATCTCGTAGGTGTTGTTTATGTGACAACATAGATCTATTTCATCATTATCTCGCCTTTGAAATTTTGTGTCAGTGCTCCTTTAAAATTGAACTGAAAGTCAATGAAGTACAGAAAAAATCGCTCAGTAAAGCTCATTATTGCTGGTTCGGAGTCGAGTTAAATATTCTATGCATTTTTGGACAAGTCACAGTATTGAATCACAGTAAATAAAGCTTGGAAATTGCACCTTGCACATTGGTTGAATCTTCAGCCATAATGTCTTGATGAAGATTTGCAGCCCTTGGATACCATAATCACATAACCTATAAAATTGTATTTAAGAATGTCTTTGGACATTATGCTACATTTTGTTCCTTTGTCCACACGTCATGGTTTTCGACTTTGATAACCATGTTTTCAATGTCAAAATCAGTGGCTGCCGAAAATTTGAACATGGCAGTGTCCCTCCTTCTGCACCGAACAACAGGCTCTGTAAAAAGGTTCTTGGTTGTGAGTTTTGGCAGTTAGTGTGGATGCCACCAATGGATGATCCTGCAATTGTGGTACTGCGGAAGCTTTAGGACATAGCAGTTCTAACAATAACCGTAATGAATGAACAGCTAACACACAGTGACGCTGTGGAAACATAGTGGGACAGATGCTCCGGTATGTAGAAGCTGAGAAAATGCTGCTGAGTGAAACAACCAAATTTACCAATTTTTAATTGCTACTTTTAGGTGTCCATTTTTACACTGAACAATATCCATCGTTATTTCTTACCATAATTGAGCAGACAAAAACAGTGAAAGATGAAACGGCGAAGAGGGACGCCTTGTGTGCTGTGTCTAGATAGCCATTCCTCTTCACTCGGAGCAGTCGTGTAGCATGGCATTTTGGCTTCTTCCAGTGTCACCCGATAGGCAGCACCAATACGTTCTTTGTGATCTCATGATGAAAAGACATACTAGTTGTGCTAATGTACAGTGCAGTCCACTTATAACGATACCACATATAACGATATATCGGTTATAACGATGGGTCGACTTAACAGTTTCATTTTATGCATTTGGGGCTATGGGGGAAAAAACCATATATAACGATATGTTATCCACCGCATATCGGATACAACGATGAAAAGTTTGCCGTGGACGGCATGTTTCATTCAGAATAATCGTAACATTTAGATTGATAAGTTCCTCTGAAACTAACTATGCCGAAACAAGACGAAAAGTTAGCGTAGGCGAGTAGGTATCTGCCGCCACTGCAGCACAGCGCCGGCAGCGCGTCCCGGCCGTTCAAAAAGCCGAGGAGAGCATCGCGAGTTGGCGCGACGCGCTACAGATGGCGCCAGCTGTGTCACGTTTTGCGCCTCGCCGCGCGTCGACCGCGGAGAGAATTTTAAAAAAAAATGCGAAAAGCAAAGCGCCGCGCTCCGCGGCTCCCCGCCTTCTACAACGGCAAGCTACTCGTAGCTTGCCGAACGAAAGCGGGAAAGAGAGAGAAAATAAAAAAAGCGAAAAGCAAAGCGGCGCGGCGGCATCGGGGCGGGGCCTCGTTGGCATTCCGGCTGTGTACCTCTGGCTGTGCTTTCTTCCTCCCACTGCTCCCACCCCGCCGTCTGTCAGTCTCTCTTCCTCCGCGAACCCGTGATGCGTTCTTCGGAGTAAGAAATAAAATCTTGTTTTTGACATCCTACTATCTACAATATTTATTAATTGGTGAAAATAGCGAAATGAAGCCTGGAGCTACAAAAGGTACGTCCGGCGACGATATTTTGGTGGCAGTCCAGATATAACGATCACCGGTTATAACGATCATATTTTTAGGTTTTCTCGATATCGTTATAAGTGGACTGCACTGTATGTCATGTATGTAATGTATACTAGTAGTAGGCTGAGCCCTCCCACTTTCGACAGTGGTCACTTTTGGCTGCATGCTGGGGAAACCGGCAAGTAAGGCGTAGTTTTTCATCACAACAGTAATCATTTAATTATTTTCTTATGGGAGAATGAAATTGTTACAAGGCTATTTACAACATAGTGAAATTTTGCCAACATTGCCACTGTGATGATTTTCCTTTCCGTGTGGGTTCTTACATTATATATATAGGTATACACTTCTTCCCCATATATATATATATATATATATATATATATGGGGAAGAAGTGTATACCTATATATATATCTATATATATATATATATATATATATATATATATATATATATATATATATGAGATATAACAGACAGTAATGCCAAGGAATGTACAGGGGAAGTTACTATAACCAATGGAATGTAAATAAGAAGAAAGAAAAGTGGATGAAAAATTCGAAGGTCGTAGGTTCGATTCCTGCTCACAGTTGGTAATTTTTTCATCCACTTTTCTTTCTTTCTTCTTATTTACATTCCATTGGTTATAGTAACTTCCCCTGTACATTCCTTGGCATTACTGTCTGTTATATCTCATTAATATTGTGTTAAGACACGGAAAAACGAGCCCTTAGGTATACACTTCTTTCCCTTATATATATATATATATATATATATATATATATATATATATATATATATATATATATATATATATATATATATATATATATATATATATATATATATATATATATATATATATATATATATTCCCGCTGATGAGTGAGTTAGGTTTGCCCCCCAACTCGCGAAAGAGTTGGTACGCCACTGTTCAGCAGTCATTCTTGTTGCAGTGTTCAATACACTATACGATATTACCGGCATGAAATGCTCACGGTTATTGTCTGGCAACCCAGAAAACAGGTTGAAAGCTGCGCTAAAATTTTACCCACGGATGTATGGTAAGCGATAGCAATCGTTTTGTTTCTGTTATTTTTTTTCAGGGGTACCTGCTGCAGAGGCAGGAACGCTGACATTTATGGTCGGGGGAAACGAGTCGGAAGTCAGCGCCGCGCAAGAGATTCTACTCTGCATGGGCAAGAATGTCATCTACTGCGGTGGAATCGGCTGTGGCGAGGCTGCGAAGATCTGCAACAACATGATGCTTGCCATATCGATGATTGGGACTTCCGAAACAATGATCCTCGGGCAGAAGTAAGAGCCGCCTTCTTTTCCTTTCATTGAATGTTTCCACATTTGCTCACTGCTGACTAACAAGTTCCATACCAGCTGTCTCCATTAAGGTAACATAACTGATGGACTCTGTAAGATGTCGACAGTCTTTTTTATGGTCAGTTTGCTCGTTATGGGGCTTTACATCTTTCCAAGTTGTCACAGGGGATCAGAGTCAATTGGGCTGATGATGTGACTCTGCTGCCTCGCGAATTTCAGAAGTGTTTCAAACTCTTTTTTTGAAGTATATAAACCGAGTTACCACACGAAATGAGTGCTTTCGCTCTCCTTTATCGCCATGGGTTCTCTGCAAGCTGACAAAGGCATAGTGTGTTTCCCAAAAGTTATGTTGGTGCATGCCTTAAAAGCACTTTTATCATTTTTTAACCACATTGATAACTACTGCTTTTGGTGAGCCTACCTAACACGAGGCTTACCCAACAAGAAGAGTATCTGGTGTGCTAACCATATTACAGTATGAGCGAAGAAGAAGGCAAAGAGTGAGGTAATAAAAGCAAACATGAAACACAAAAGCAGATGGGTTGTGCAGTGTTTTAGAGAATTACAGCATTACACGATTTCATGGTGAAGACTTCAGCAGCCAGTCACGTAAAGATTAAGGCCTCTTTAGTTGCGGTACCTGTGCCCAGCGAAACAAAACACTCGAAGGGCAACGAAAGCAGCGAGCTCAGTTGTCTGTCGTCAAAATTTTAGCGGTGGGTGAAACGAGTTGGCTTCTGCATAAGTAATAGTGCATTCCAGCTAAATCACTTGTGGGTTCATTAGCTCTAAATTGTACACTGCTTCTTGCATCACCCACACAACCTGATTAAAATTTGTGAAAACATTTTACAAGGTTCCAATAAAATCAAGTGTCACTGACGCTGAGAGGCGAAAGGTGGCACAGTTTTCATCAAGAAAACACAGCCACAGCAAATTAAAAAAGAAAAAGAGAGCAAAAAGTTTACATCAGTGGTCTTTCTGGTAAGCTTCCGATGCTTTGAAACCTGCGAGCGATGGCTGAATAGAAAGGGCATTCAATGAGAAACTACAAAACATTCCACGTGTACGCTCGCTTTCAACACTGCTCAAACGGCTACAACGTTCTCGTTCCAGACTTGGGCTGGATCCCAAAGTGCTCAATCAGATTCTCAACGTAAGCTCCGGGAAGACGTGGCCTAGCGAAGTCTACAGCCCAGTACCTGGATTGATGCCCAATGCTCCTTCCAGCCACAATTACGAGGGTGGATTTGGATCTGCGCTGATGACGAAGGTGAGCGTCTTATGTAGTTCGGAAAGCCCGTTTTGAAGTGCCGTAATTATGTTCTTTAAGTGTTGAATTTCAATGTCAAAGCCTAGATGTCTCGTAAAATGGGAAAATTCAGCATCCCATGGCAATGATATTCTGCATATGACGCAGAATATCATTGTCACACGATGACATCATAACATTGTCATTGCTTGGTCAAAGCTAGACTGATCACAGATGCAGTGCAAAATCGCATTAGGTGCAGGAAGCTTGTGGTGGGGTGGCAGGAGCATCGGTACATCGAATGAGAAGAAGATGGATTTTACCTTCTAGTCATCCTTAAGCAAATGCATCAGGGGCTCTACAAGTTTCTCTGACCCAGCTGTGGCGGCCGAGGGGCTGTGGTGGTGTGCCTCCTGAGCTCGAAGCTGTGGGTTTGACACCCGGCAACAGTGGTTGTTTTTTTAACGCAGCCACAATGCCAGTGTAGCACTTCAGGTGGACGTTGGAGCTGATCAAAATTAACCTAAAGTAACCTGCCTTGCAATTGTGTCACAATCCTGGCACGTAAAATCAAAGAATTCATCAACTTTATTTTATATTTCTGAAAGACCTTGAAGCAAACTCGTAGCCGGGAATGTTTTTCATAGAAAGAGGGTGTGGTGGGTGGAGGACCTTTCTTGCTGAAGGCTTTGACATATTTGGTGAAATGCCCCTTTCATCAGAAATGAAGGGGTGGTAGAGGTAGGCCTCTTGGGCATCACCCTTGGCTATGGGTCAGTATGTAGCAAAGGACGTCGTCTTAGTACATAGCACTCTTTAAGATTAGTGTTTACCACAATACTGTATATATCATGGGAACGAGATGCTGCGAAGTATTGAAGCTATGACTTTTCACAAGGACAGAATAGTACCCAGGGTCAGAACGTTTTTTTAAACACATTTAACTGGTTGACAAACTGTTTATGCTTGGAAATGTACATTAACAAACTTGGCTACACCCAAGCGCACGTCATTAAAATTAAGGCAGTCTAGTGTGGAAGCTTCATAGCTCCATCATCGACTCCACCTTTGCATAGGGGTATGTGTTTATTCTCACATGATGCCTTACAAAATATGGAGCTTTCAAGTTCTGTCTGTCTGAACTGATCTGGTATTTCAGTGTAATGTCACTTAGAAGGAATGTAATTATGAGATGAAGCAAGTTATTTTTGGCTGTCACAATTTTAAGCATTTTTTTTTTCTCTCTGTTGTCAGGATCTTGGTTTGGCCCAAAATGCTGCAACGCAGACCGGTTCTCCAACTCCACTGGGCTCACTGGCCCATCAGATCTACAGACTAGTTCTGAACCACAACCTCGGAAAGAAAGACTTTTCAGTGATCTACCAGCTTTTGGAAGGAAAAGTGATAAAGTAAAAGCGCTTATTGTTCCCACAGACTGATGAGCCAGACACGATTGTTTCAATGAAAATTATGAGCATTCCAGTGCAGTTCTCTGTCGTGGCATCTGTCACCGAAGTGGCTGCGTGGTGTCAAAATAAAGTGTCTACTATGTTCACCTTGTTAAAAAATGTGCATAAGGTGGGAAGTGTGACATCATGTTGAAAATCTGAGGGGGATGAACCCCGCAGCACCTTGAGTTGTCATAGAATGACCTCGGTATTGGCTCTGTTGTGTCACAAATATCCTGACTGCAGGTCAGCCGCTAGAGTATTTTCTCGTCTATTACCTGCACCCCTGACTACAAACGGCTATAAAATAGAAAGTAACTTTTAAAAAACAACCGTGTATTTTTGTGATGCATTACTATGAGGCATTGCATTACTATGAGGCAGTCCCATGAAGCTGAGTTGCACAACGAGATACGCATGTAAGCAACTCCCCAATTTTTGCCCTGAACTTCTTATATATTCTGTGATCTTATGTGCAAAAAATATGGTATTTCTGACTCTGCTGAGTGTTTCAGGGCCCCTTTAAATACCCGACAACAGTATCTAAGTAAGGCTAGGCTCTCGGAGTAGGCTTTGCAATTGCAACAACATTTTCAGCGAACTGTGCCAACGCACATTACATGTACAGTGCTATTTTTTAAAAGAGTGCACATGGGTACTTCGCTTTGTATGATAGTAGTTCCTAATAGTACATCTGCTTGCTAAAAAAAACACACAGCCAAAGCCAAAACCGTGTGCCAAAAAAAAAAAAAAAAAACAGAGGAGGAGCTTTGTCAGTTGAAGTAAACGCGGAAAAAGAGCCCGACGAGGCTGGCCACTGTGGTTCTCCGTGCTGAAACGGCAACAAAGACGAGTGTGTTTGTTTCCATAGTTTTCGGAACACAGCACTGAACTGTGCCCCGCTTTAGTTGACATTCAATAAAGAATGCATCGACGGCTAATGTGCAGTGCCCCTATTGCCCTGCCTGAACAGCAGGTTTGATCGTCTTTGAAGGGTTATGTGTATTTCGCATGTGCAAAATACAAGAGCTCTCTGAAACAACCTCCATTTGGCGATACAATGGACGTTCATGCAAGTCGTAACGATTCAGAGTTCTTGAACATGGGTGAATTGCAAAAGTTATTTAAGGGCAGCAACAGACTAAATCAGCCGAGGAGCTTTCATCAAACAGGACATCTCGGAAATGCTCCAACTTCGAGAGTGTGGACTGTGGAATACGCCACCTTGAATCTTGGGTACATTCACTATGCACCAGAGCCAAGAACAAAGATGCCCATTAGTGGGGTTATAATTGAAAGTGCATGCAGTACAGTGGCGAAGAATTTATCATTCGGCAATCAACCGACGCCATTAAGCTGTAATACATACGACAAAATTGGGAGTTTGAGTTCCGCTCAGCACTAAAGACACTCTCCTGTCAGCAAAAACCTAAGGCCATTCAACACCGATAGCAAGCGTGCTCGGATAGCATGGTCCACCTTGGCTGTGCAAAGGCTGCGAGAAATGGTGCAACAAGCAAACATTATGTCGGCGACCTAAGAACAGAATTATTGGCTGAACTCGTAAAAGAAGCCACCGTTGAGCACAGACCTATATCCTAACGTTCGTTGCTTTTTTTTTTTTTCATTCAATATTATGTCTTTACATAAATAGCTGTGTAAGAATTTGTCTTGTTTTGTCTGGATATCTTAATGATACAGTTCTATCAATAAATATGGTACTATCTCAGCATTTCATTAATGTGTTAATTAGTCCTAGACTTCTTCCCCTGTAATAATTCCAGTAAGAGATTCCAAAATAAATAAAATAAATGAACCGAATAAAATGGTGCTGCAAGTGTCCTCAATTTCTAAAAGAGACCATCATAGATTTTGCAATGAAATAAATCTGAATGTTGAGGCTTCTCCACAACACTTATCTGCTCTGATCCCTCAGAAAGACTAAGTGAACATTTCTTGTTAATCTTGACAACAAACACCTTACCTTCAGAGTTTTGCTCCAGAGTAGACCTTTGATGCAATTAATGATAATCTGAACAGCATCATTAAGGAGCATGCAATGGAAATCACGGGTACTGTCCTTAGACAGGACACTGGCAAGCTATTCAAGGAGACGATAAACCTCAGTAAGAAACGTCAAGCCATGAAAGCCTCCAATGCAACAGACAAAATAGAGCTGGCAGAGCTTTCGAAGTTAATCAATAGGCATAAGGTAGCCGACATAAGGTATAACATGGAGAGTATTTCGCATGCCCTAAAGAATGCGAGAAGCTTCAAAGATGTGAAGAGAAAACTGTGCATAGGCAGAAATTAGATGTATGCATCAAGAGACAAGGAAGGCAAAGTCACGACCAATATGAATAGGATAGTTAAGGAAGCGGAGGAGTTCTACGGAGATCTGTACAGCAGCCTAGACAATCAGGATAATGTAAGATGTAAAGTAGAGAAATCGAACATCCCACCAGCAACGACAGGGGAAGTGAAGACAGAGTCCTTCAATAATTTTACTGGTCATGAGCTTTGCTGAAAGATGGATATAGGGACAAGAGCAACTGCTAGGAGCACCCTCGTTTGCACCGAGACATTGGAGCAGCCTCAGCGCTACAAATGTAGCAGCCTCAACGCTGCTGTGAAGCGTTATGAAATGTAGCCGTGAAGGTTGAATAACGTCTTCAGCATGATGTTACCTTCAAGAAAACTTGGGCAAGCTCTGACAGACTGAAATTTAGCATAGAATGAGGCCTTGAATCTAGAAATTCAATGGCATGCCAATTCTTCTGTAAGATGTGCTACCGCTATAAAAGCATGCTGCTTTTTTTTCTTAAGCATATAGTGAAAACTTGTGGACAATCTAGAGTTCTTCAATGACACTGGTGGTTTTTAACGTGTTGCGGAAGTGCAGTGGTTGCAAATTTTGACAGCGCATATCCAACCTTTCAGGCTATATATACATTCAGTGTTTCTATACGAATATATATATTACTCATATTTGTCAAACCAACACCCAGTTTGAATGAATCAGTGCTTTGAATTTAGTAGTTGATGAGGTTCAAGCAATACTTCATATGGGGTTCTTACAAAGAGGGTTCAACTTAAATTGAGGACAACGCAGCGAGCGGTGGAAAGGAAAATTATAGGTGTGACCTTAAGAGACAAAAAGAGAGCATAGGGGTCAGGGAACAAATGGTGGTTAAAGATATCATAGTTGAAATCAAGACGAAGAAATGGTCATGATAGGAGCATGTAGGACATAGACAGGATAACTGCTCGTCATTTGAGGGCAACTGACCGGGCTCCAAATGAACGCAAGTGCGTGAGGGGGAGATAGATGATTAGGTAGGCAGATGATATTAAGAGGTTTGCAAGTATATAGCATGGCAGCAGAGAGAACAGGACCGGGTTGATTGGTGGAACATGGAGATACCTTTGCCCTGCAATGGGCATAGTCGGGCTGCTGCTGATGATGATGACAAACAGCTTGGTCGAGCAAGCGCTTTCTGAATTTCGACTGTTCGAAAGGAGGGCAAATCAGAGCTATAGATCAACAGTCAAATGTCTGCATGTTGAGTACATACATCGATAATGATGGACTTCTCTGTTTTGGTGGCCGTTTAAAGCATCACAGAGAGGAGTAAAACGTTTAGCATACTTTTCAATTCCCTCCTGCTAATGTGGTGACTTAGTGAGATGATAACAAACTAGAAAAAAGAGGGCTGGGACCTTGGCTTCTTTACGTACGAATGCCCACCAACCAGCACAACTTTCTGTTGTTCTAAGCAGTGATCAGCCCCATTGCATCAGAATATCATCTTGAATGTAACATGCCGTGGTGTTCAAAAAACTGACAAAAATCAAAAATATTTCTTGATTTCATATAAGCATCATGCGACAAGACAATGTGATACTATATATGGGTTGCTTGAATAGGGATAAGTGCCTCACATAGGCTGGCTGAGGTTTCGACAAGCGGACTCATCTTCGTCAAAGACCCCTCATCATCCTCGGTGTGACGCATGTGATGCTGCTGCCGGTTTTTATCCACAAAATGCATGCAATAAAATGTATAGGGAAACAGCATGATCATTTAAGAATCACAGTAGATGAAAGAGTCGTCAAATTCTGAAAAAAATAAAAGAAAGAACAGTCCTGAAGGTAACTTAGTTTTAGAGCTGAAGAAATGCGAAAAAATGGGAAGGAAAAAAATCTCCAGCACGGATTGGGAGCTCTTGCCTCATTAAGAAAATACGGGCAAATGAAATTAGGCGCTCGTGTGCCCAACAAACTACTTTCCGTTTTTTTTTTTTTTCTATTGCATTGCACAATGCTCCCTCGTAATCGTGTTCTGCCTCCATGACGGGGATCGATTCATTTGCTTGGGAGTGCAACAATACAGCCAGAGTGCAAGCAACAATGACGGTCATGAATTCACATCCAGGTAACAGCAAAATGTGCAGATGTTATATGACGAGTCACCTCAATACAAAATCAGACTGCCCTATTATAAACGGCTGACCATCAATAAGTTTGTGATCGAGAGCATCAATTAGTGGAAAACGACACACATAATTATACTCGCAGCCAGTGCACACATTTGAGGGCCACATTTGCTTGGATCATGTTTGTTTGTTGGCCACGTTTGTTTGGATCACAGTCGCACCCACAATGCCACTGACACTTTTGAAGCAGCAGGAGCTTCGCTTGATAACTGGAAGGTGGCTTTGGGTGGGTCCCTGGTATCACCACTCTTAAACTCCCGTTGACGAGTACGGTTGTCATGAGATTTTGTACCAAAATGGCAGATGATGGCTCTAGTATCAACAATAACTGGTCTCTCATGGAACCAATGACGAATATGCTTGTCATAGTGTTTTTCGGCGAATTGAGTGAAAAAAAAATTCTGGTAAATTTGGTACAATTTTCTTCTTTTTTTTATAAAAACAAAAGGGTTAGAAGGAAAATTTTTTTTCTTGTGAAAGGTGCCATGAGGTAAGTAAGAATGAGAGATGCAGTCAGATGGAATGGGCCAATAAGCATTAGGTGAACATCAACAGCAAGTACACAGTCAAAAACATTGCCTCTGTTCACACAAGGAGGCGTGGGCTAGCAGGGTTGAAGGGACG